TCCCCCTCCTTCCTATCATGGTTATGAATTTTCATGGTTTGTTTCTGAATTCATTTTTCTTTTCAGGACCTCTGACTTTCCAACACAGTTGGTTGTGAAATTAGCTTGGGTTTGTTGTATCATCCATCATATTCTGGCATTAACAATAACTTGGGTTAGTTTTATTTTATTTATTTATAAGTAGTTAGTTGAAACTATGAAAATTTTTGAAGGATTTGAACTATTCCTATTGATATTTGATATTTTATTAGAATGATTTGAACTATTTATCAAATAGGGTTGATTTTAAAAATATGTTAGAGAATGAGGTGGGAACTCTTGAAGGCATCACTCCAATTTTGTGAATGATGTGGGAAGCCTACATTCATGATAAATTCATTAGGAAATACAAAATTTGAAATTTATTAGTTATTTATTTCAATTTTCTTTATATCTTTTATGTGAAGTTTAAAATTGGAGTGATATTGTCATTTTAAATTGATTTATTATAATTAAATTTCGTAATACGTTCAAGCAAAAATTGCACGAGTTATCCATAATAAAATGATATGAGACAATAGTTTAGGGGGATAAAATATGATTTGCCCATCAAAATATTAAAATTGCATTGGTGTGCCATACGATAAAAATAATAAAAATTTAACTTTATTTTATATGTTAAGATTTGTTAATTTAGTGATTATAATAGAAATGTTAAAAAAAGAAAAAGAAAAAAAGAAACCCTTTATGTCAGATGCACTACATAAATTGCCTGTAGTTTGAAAATTTATAAAAATTTTATTGTCAGAATTTTTTATTTGACAAAATTAATTAAAAAAATAAAATTTATAATTGTTCTCCTATATAATAATAAAATTACTTGAATTATTAATTGAAATACATTTATGATATCATTAAAAACTGTTAATTGAATTGATGATTTATTAATAAAATGGACAATTTATTATTATAAATTGGAAACTTCAAAGGAGATGTAATTTTCAAAATCACAAGGATAAATTAGATTTTAAACAAATTTCAAGGGTGTATTTATAATTTATCAAAAAAATAATTGATAGAGTTTTTTAAGGGTAAATTACACTACCTCCTTATAATTTGGTGGTGTTTTGAGAAATTGGTAAAAAGTTGACTTTTTAACTTTTTTGGCAAAAAAATTGACTTTTTTGACTAAAAAAATCAAAATTTTAACTTTTTTTAACTTATTCCCAAAGTACCCTTAACACCCTTATGATTTAAAACCGAACACATAAACCCCCTTGTGCTTTGGACTTTCGTGTAATGACTTAACTTTGTTAACGATTTTTTTAGAAAGTCTATATCATCCTTATTTGTTTATTAAATTTACAACTCAATGCCACTACTTTTCACTTTTTCTCGTTAAAAAAATTAACTGTTCTTTCTCCCTTTGACACATTTGTACCTCCAACTATTCTTTCACACTTTTTCTAAAATAAAAGCCATTAATTTCTCTTTCAATCATGCTATCTTTATCTATTATTTTTTCACTTCTTTATTTGAACATACATGTTTATATATACATGTGTTTATTTCACAGTATCATTGAATGAATCCCTCATTCTTTGTAACTCCTCCAAAACAAGTATTGAGAATTGCAAGAAATCACATATCATAAAATGGGAAACATTATAAACACTAATTAATAAATTCAAAAACAAGATACGATCAAATCAGTGTTCAATTTCAAGTAGCAAGTTCCCATAAGTATAACTATGTGAATCTATATATATATGAACCTCTGTTTATATTTTTTGAGGAAACCAGTTTGTGCAAGCTTTCTTGAGAGGGAAACAAAGAGAGACACATGGATGTTGGACCGTCATTGATGCAACTCTATGTTGGCAATGTTGAGTTTAACACGCTGGTGGACCCAAAAATACAACATTTATTGATAACACTCTAGTACACAAAACACTTTTACACAATTACATACTACTCAATACACTTCACTTATCTACTGACACATACATTCAAGCACTCACACTTTGTGTCCTCCTCATACAAGACCTTGAGACACCTCACACTAGATAGTGCTTGACCACTCACTTTGGACTCACTCTTCCTTCACTCAATTGTCCAATTGTCCAATTGTTTAGTACATACATTCATCTCATATTTATTCTAGTTAAAGAACTTTCTAGAATACACTCACACTTTCCCTATGCTCTAAAACAAGATTATTCTAGTACATATTAGAGTTTTCTATTCTTCTTTAAAATATTCTAGAACCTTTTGGAACTTTATAAATTTCTCTAGTTTTCTCCAAACTTCTTTAATATCCGAAACCTTCTAGGATATTCTAGAATCTTTCAGATTTCTCTAGGTCTTTCCAAAATCTTCTAGATCTTTCCGAAGTATTCTAGATTCATGTGGAAACTTCTAAAATATTCTAGAGAGAAGATTCTAGAGAGTAAAGAGAGTTAGTGATGACTCTCAACAGGCAATGGAGGGTGAATTAAGATTTAAGATGGTGATGGAGGCAGTTGCTAGTCCTTCGTTTGATTTTTCTTCTTGTATACAATGATGGTAAGAGTTGAGAGGTTCGCTATAGATTTTACACTCGTTTGGCAACTTGAAATTTTGGTCAAAAAGCAAAAAAATTATTATAAGTTATTACATCACTCACTCTACTTTTCTATATATCTTTTTGTAAAAAGTTAAAAAATTACTAAAATAATATGTTCCCAAACCAAGTCCTAGGTTTTTTGTGTAGCTATGGCCGCCATAAGCTTCACTTCTCTACCGCTGGTTGAGAGCATTTGTTAGCAATGGATAGCGATATAGGATTGGCTACAACAGAGTAGGGGATAGAGTTAATAGTGTGAGTTGTTTTAGATAGTGCAAATGTGGCAGATGATAGCGGTGGGTTGAAGTGGTTGCGGTGCTGGTGTGTGAGAGAAGAAAAACAAAGAGCTTGCAAAATGAGGAAGAACATGGAAGAAAAAAAATTTAAAATAAATTAAGGACACTATAGTGATTTTGCTTTTCAATTTGTCCTAATACATTTATGTTTGTGCATAACGTGCAGTTAAATTTAATGGATTTCGAAGGTAAAATGTAATTAACCCGTTTTTTAATCCTATATTCTATTACTAGGGTGGTGGCCTCATAAAGAAAGCAATTCTTTCATAGGAGTTAATCAAGTTCAATTTTTGGAGAACACGGAATGTTGGCTTTGTCTAGCTGACTCTTTTTAGAGATCCCATATTGTACTACGATTGATAATTGACATCTTTTATGATATGTGACTGAACTCTATTAAATGCCTTAATAATAAATCTATTTCTTTAAATTGAATTAATTTGATTACCGAAACCAGGACCGCGGATACTGGGGGTGTTTGGTAGAGATTATTTTAAGTTAAAAGCTAATAATCAAAAAGTATAAGCTAAAAGTATTCCTCGCTAGCTTTTGAAAAATCAACCTTTTTTAACTTATTTAAGTTTTTCTGCCCAATAAACTATAAATAGAAACTGCACCAAATAGTCTAGCACAAACTCCCAAATTAAAATAAGCTATAAGTTGCCCCTATTGTCCACCGAGCATATATATTTTTCAGTTCTGCTACGTAGCTCGAATGAGGCTTGCCCCGAATGGCTCAAATTCCAAAACAACATCGTTTTGGAATTTTTTTCTCTCTGAAACAAAGGCGAAGATGAAGATGAAGATGAAGAAGAGAGAAGAGAGAGCTAGGGACAGAGAGAGAGAGAGAGAGAGAGAGAGAGAGGGCATTAACATCAACAACACCACATCATCATAAACACTAGATCTGTGTGTATACACAAATCTATACACACAGAAACATATATATATATATATATATATATATATCTTCGAACTCAAAGTCTTTGCACATGTATCTTTGAGTTTGTTCATGTATACACAGATCTATGCATACACATATCTATATATATATGTGAGAGAGAGAGAGAGAGAGCCACCCACTAGTAGAGAGAGAAAGAACCATCCACCGGCGCCACTATCACCGTTTCCTCTGTGTGTATACACAAATTTGTATATACACACACAGATTTGTGTGTATACAGATCTCCTTTTTCTCATTTTTTTTACTTTCTCTTCCTCCTCTCCATCTTTTCTCTTTCTCTTTCTTTCGCCTCTTCTCTCTTTCTTCTGTCTGTGTTAGAGAAGAAAGGGAAGGGAAAGAAAGAAAATGAAAAAAAAAAAGAAAAAAAAGAGAAACCCAAAATAACACCATTTTAGATTTTGAGCCAATTCAGACCAATTATTTTTGAGCTACCACGTATTATTCTATATTTTTTTAGTAACTCAAAATCATATACTCCACTCGATTTTGTCCGTATCTGAAGCTGCGATTGGTGGTCCATACCATACCATGGGGTGTTTGGTGGGGCTTTTTTGAGCCAACTTATGGTTTCTGGCTTTTAAAAAGTTATTTTGGACTGTTTGATTAAACTTATTTCAAACAACTTCTAATTTTAACAATTAATTTTAAGTCAAAAAAGCTGATTCTGAGAAGCTGCTCACCTCTTGCTTCTGATTATCAGTTTCTGCTGTGGACATATTAATTTACGGTTACACTCTTAGATTTTTTTATTTTTTATTTTTTTTAAAATAGAAAAAAGACACAAATGGACTATAAAGTATTATTATTATTTTTTTACGAGAAATGTAGACAAATAGTGAATAATAAAAAATAAAAAGTTAATTGAAAACATACTTCACAACTTAGGGGTTATTTGGGATAAACTAAATAAGTATACTTTTTGATTTTTTATGAAATATGAGTTGGGTATGAATTAAGTTTGAAGTGATATGGTAAAGAGGTAATGTAACTTAAATAAAATGACGTGACTTAAATAAGATAATGACTTTTTAACTTTTTAACTTTTTATATTTATACCAAACCAAACCTTATTTAACAAACACTACTCAACCACTTAAATCTATAATCTAAAAGTTATACTATTAACAACTTTTCTAATTAAACTCTTAAATTATAATCTATAATCTCTCTTACCGGCTACACCAAGACCCATCAGCAAGAAGGATTTGGCATTAGAGAGAGGGAGAGAGAGAAGGAAGCGGCCTGTAATGGAGTTTCTGTCTCTATCCTCATCACCGCCGTCCACGGCGGCACTGGCGGTTCCTTCGTCGTTAACTACCACTTCTCCGCCGCTCAGCCATTCCCGAAGGCCATTGTCTCCTGCTCTCGCTTTCCGACGGCGGCGATTGGAAATAACGCGTAGTCGTCGGAGGTCGCAGGTCGTGTGTATGGCGCCAGAAGAAGAGAAGATGACTCGCCGGTCTCCTCTTGATTTCCCCATCGTAAGCCCCTTTTACACCCTCTCTGTGTAATTTCTTCCAACATCTTTTGGTCTCACCTTTTTGTTCTTGTACTTTGTTTGGTTGCTGAGTAAACGTGAGTAGAGGAAAACTCGCCTCAATTAAGTTTAAACTGGTTGTATTATGTGAAGTTGAGGGGAGAATTGGCTTTGATTCGCCCCAAAATAGCGAAATCTTTGTCTTAATAAGTGAAATTGTGTATAAGGTCTCAGCTTTTGATGTCTATCTCTGTAACTAGCTGAGTGCTTATTCGAATCCGCATAATCAGTGAAACATGAAACACAAAAACAATAAACGCTCAAGAAAGATAAATTTCATGCACACATGAAGAATTGCAAGAGATTACTGCCTCCCCAAAATACCAACATTTAGGAACCTGAGTAGTGGGCTATTGTATGCAAAATTTTCTGAAGAAACCTGCATTCAATGATTAAATACAAATTTGGCTTTGCCATGTTGTTTGTATCGATAATATCCACCAAAACTTCCTGAATTCTGACCACCCCCTCACAAACTTGAAGGAAACACGAAAGTTAGGTAACAGTGATAAGTGCTTACAATGAATGGAACATTATTTATTTTGGGACAACCCCTCAAGGAAAATCTTGTTCTCGAACTCAAAGTCTTTGCACATGTATCTTTGAGTTTGTTCATGCCTTGCTACTTTGAAAATGAAATATGAAAAAAATTATTGATGTGGGTACGTATTTCTAGCAATTCTAATTCAAGGAATCTGGCCTTTACCACTGGAAACCCAAAATGAACACATAGAAGGCAGGGCAACTCCATAAAACTATGAACCTTAGTGTTAGTATGGCAGTGTTGCTTCCGACAGACTTTATGTGATGCTAATAAGCTCAGTACATTTAATGTTGTCTTAGGTGTGAGAATTTTCTCAACACAACTTGATTTCCTCACCTGTTACTGGCCATCAACTGCGTCTATGATAGAGTCCTTCATAGTTGATGAAGATTAGTTTTACATTGTGTGAACAACAATTGTTTTTGATAATGCAATGCAAGTTTGGATGTAACTGTTTCCAACTTTTTGGGGGAAGACTGTTCGTGAAGTGGTTTTGTGATCTGTTTGCAGACAGTAAGAACTAACCTGTAGTTCCCTGCATAGGAGTTCACAGAACTTTTGCCAAAACATTCTCAAGTAACTGCTTCTTGATCAGTTCAATGGTCCTTGGCAATCCATGCAACCCAAAGATATTGTTTGCTAACACTTGATAGTTATTGCTGATGTTGAAGAATTCATTAAAGCCATAAAATGAGCAATTTTTTGCCATGGTCATACTTTTTTGTTGTGAAACTGGAAATCCCTTATTAAGATCCATAAAAATATGGCAGTTGCCTCTCCTTCCCTTCGTCATTACACATTAAATTTCTCCCCTTATTTTCATCTTTTGCTGCCCAATACAATAAATGACCATAAGGTCTATGCCATCCGCCTTTTGTGATATCCTGTGTACTCACAAGTGACACCGCTATGGAACTCTAGCAATACTTTTGCAATTACATATTCACAATGACATGGTGTACTCATTACTTCCCCTGATGCATTAAGGCATTGATGTGGGGCCATTTGTTAGTTTATAAATTTCTACAATTCCTGATTATGCTCTCAAAATTTCTATTTGGCGCCGCTTGATCGAAAGAAACACAATACACACAGCTTTTTGGTGCATCTTGACCCCATCTGCATGTGCCAACACCTTTCATGTTCCAATGGAACAATTGTTGCCTTTTGCACTAATGATCTACAGTGGACTCTTCTTGTGATAGTATATAACATTACGTCCTATTGTTATTGCATATTAGCTTATATTAGCTTAACACTCATTTACTGCAGTACATCACAGGGATCAAATTAATCCGGTTAAAGAGAAAATAAATTGTACTTAAGTTGGTTTTTGTTTTTTTTATTATTTTTTATATATATATTTTTATTTTAAAGTAGGATATACCTGCAATTGTGGAATGGGCTGTTGAAGAACTGAGCACCAGCTACAAGTTTTGACAAATGTCATACTTTGCCAAGAAGGCGGTGGAAGTAAAGTTTTTTTTTGTTTTCCTCCCTGTGACATCATAGCACTCAATCTGGGTGTTAAGTCAATAATATTCGTGCATGATGTGCTTCATATGATATAAGATATAATCCCTCGAGGTCATGTTTGGATGGCAAGGATGGAGGTTCATTCAATTGTTGCATGCATCCAAATTCCAGATTACTTTTCCAAGCAGAACGAGATTGCTATATTACCCTCTCACCATGGGAATCTAATTGTGATTGACATTCGGATGTAAAAAAGAATGGTGAGCCACAATATTTTAAAATTTTATCATGTTAATATTCCCAACTAGTACATATACTTGAGTGGCATTAACATGGAAATCTTATTAATAGCAATGGGATTCCTAATTCCATTGATTCGTGCGATCCAAACATGGTCGACACTTTGTTCTCTTCTTGGAAGGAGCTGAAGCCAATTTCCACGACTCATGAAGTGTCTTGTTGTTGCACCCTGACTTTTTGGCTTCGTACATTTTTTTTTTCCCAATTAATAACTACACTCATGTAACTGGAAAGGATCTTTGCTCATCTTGTTCACACTTAATTACATGGCAGGAATGGGAAAGGCCGAAGCCTGGGCGGAGACCAGATATATTCCCCCAATTCAGCCCAATGAAAACACCATTACCACCGCCATTGCCAGCTGATCCTCCTGAAGAAGACGAGGAAGAGGAAGAAAAGAAAGAGGAAGAAGAGGAAGATCCTGAAGGGGAAGAAACGGATAAGCCAGAACAGTAGTAGCATTGATCAGTCTTCTAGTTGGGAAGGGAAAAGGGAGTTTGTTCAACATTTAGACTCGCAGACATTGTTAATACTAATGGATGTATCCTTATAATGGCAGAGACAAGATTAAGCTTTCTTTGCACATTCAAGTTTCATTTCAGAAACATATTTTTGCAATTGTCGGATTAAGGATAGTTGTTATTTTTTACTTTTTTTTCTGAGTTTCATTATTTTATTTTTATCTATCATACTGCATTTAGAGGGGGCTTGATGGAATTTTGAATCTATTCTTTTTCATGCAAAAGCTTTTGCTTTCTGTAATGGTGGCACTGGCAATGAAATTCTTGTGTGCTATACAACTTGAGACCCTTTTATGAGGATATTGGTTTCATTGAGACTTTGTCAGATTCGCATTCGGGCTTGGCTTATTATGAATTTAGAAATTTTGTCAGCTATGTCTGACTTGTGATGAATGTGTATGTCACCAGGCTGGAAACAAAATTGAGTATTTTCAGAAAGCCTTTGAGTTGCTACCATTTTCAGGTTCACAACAAATTTTCAAGTTCATCATTGTGCAGTTTAATTTCTTCATTTTGTATTTCCTCACGACCGACTATAAAGAAAAATAAAAACCTTTATGAAACAGTCTCTTGCTTATACACTGTCAAAAGATATGAAGCATTCGTCCAGAAAAAAGGAACTACGAATTGCATAAAAACATTGTTGAAAATTCATTTGAGACAAACTGGTTTAAAATTGATTAATTTTCTAAGTTCTGGCTCAAACATGGCTAAGCTTGTACACAATGTATAACAAAAAAATATGCTCTTTGAACTCAATTCATAATTGACTCAAATAGAACTTATTTGATGTCAACTCAAAAAAAGATAAACTAGTCAAATTTGTATGCATTTTTTAACATTTCAAGTTTTTAAGTCAATTTTTACTAGACACGACTCAACCTGTTTATACTATAGATATACACATTGCGATATTAAAGGTGAAATGCAAATGACCAATGCATTTCAAGTTGAAAACATTTCATTTCAACCATAGTTTTCAAGCGTCTTTCACAACATACTGGTTAAAACTTACAATTCAATCGCAATACACATGTAATATAGTATGTACCATTCATAGTAAATAGTTTTTATAATGTCAATAAGCACATGTAATATATTATGTACCATTCATACTTAATAGTTTGGGTAAATTACGAACACACCCTCTGAGGTTTACTTAAATTATAAATTATCTCTTGTGATTTTAGAAATTACATTATGCCTCTTAAAATTTCTAATTTCATAACAAACAGGTCACTTTATTAATAAATCATCAAATTAATTACCGATTTTTAATATTGTTAAAATTTTATTTTAATTAATAATTCAGATAATTTTATTATTGTATAGGTGAACAATTAAAAATTTCATTTTTTCAATTAATTCTATCAAATAAAGATATTTATAATTTTTTAAATCACAAAAGACAATTTATATTTTAAGCATACCTCAAAGGGTGTATTTGTAATTTACCCTAATAGTTTTTATAAAACCTCAAGAAGCACGGATACAAACATGATGCGAACACACAAATTTTTAAAAAATAGAAAACACGAACACTTTTAATATATATAATTAAATTTATTTATTATATGTCATAATTTTATAAATAAAAAAAGTCATGAAAAAGTAATAAAAAGTACCAAATAACACATTAGTTTTTATAATAAAAATTTAATTGGTTCCTATAATAAAATTAATAAACACATTATTAAAATCAGTAATAATTTTAGCAATATCAACAATTTGAATTTTTCTTTAAATAAAACTAATCAATGTCAACAATTTAATTTTTACTTTAAATACAATTAATTTGTTTCAGGTTCAGCCAAAAAATAGAAAGAAAAAAAAAAAAGAGGTTACATTCTACCAAAAATAAAAAAGAAAAAAAAATCAAATAGAGACAAAAAAAAAAAAGAAAAAAAAAAGAGATTACATTCAGTACCCAAAATAATAATAATAATAATAGGGGAGGGAGAGAGAGAGAGAGGAGAAGGGCAGGTTAAATTCAGCCCCCAAATAAAAAAAGTCGAAGAAAGAAAAAGCGAGAGAGAAGAAATAGAGGGGAAAAAAAATCAAAAAACAGAGAATCGAAGAAAATCGCAGGAGGAGGAGAAGATAATCAAAGGAGAAGAGACAAAAAACAGCTGACTTCTATGGTATGTTTCTTCTTCTTTAATTCTCTGCTGTTCAAGATCATTGAAAAAGGTATATTTCTTCCTCTTCTTCTTCGATTTTGTTTTTCTCTCTTCTCTTCTCCTCCCTTTTTTCAGTTTTTATTTTTTACAGTTCAAACCCATTTACAAGTTTCTGGAAATTACGTTTTGTATCCCACGGTGTCCGAAACGTATCTGGTTGAAAAAAATTCACAAAAAAGAAGAGGACACCTTAGAGAGTGTCGGACACGTGTCCACAGCACGTCCATGTCCAACACTCATACACAGCCTCTGGGGAAGTGCCTGTACTTCATAGTGTCACTTTCTAATATTTAATAGTCTGAAAACTCAATTGTACACAATACACTAGAAATAGTATATACATATCACTTCAATTGCATTCCCAACTAGTGTGGAATGGACAATGGCCAAGTAGTAATTTTTACTTAATTTTTAATGAGTAATATGAAAGTATTGCAGTTTCAAAAAAGACACAAGTTGCAGAATCTCAACATTAACTCTACCATGATGATGATGATAATAATAATAATAATAATATGCAAGTGATCAATTTCACAAACAATGATAATTCCAGTTCAACTCAACTCAATCGATCAGGTTAGATACTACGTTCCCAAAACAAGCTCATCTACCATTTGCTTGCTTCTACTTTTCCAAATAGTAAATGTTGATTGATAGTAATTCAATGAAGAACTCGAGGAAAACGAATGAACAAAAGCAATACCAGTTATTTCCACAGCAATCCAATCACAAACAGATGCAGTCAATACTGAACAATAATACATATTTATGCATATCAAAGAAGTCCAACACAATTTTTATTTAGATTTTTCATCAGAACACTCCATGAAAAGTTTGACGGCTAACTTAGCAAGAACTAGGGCAAGCACATCTATCCAAAGAAATCACAAGTGCATATTGTAATCATAGCATAACAAATTGGAGGCTGAATTAGGATTTGAGAACCCTCACTTCTTCCCACTTTTCTTGAGTCCAGAACCTCCAAATGCTCCCTTCTGTTGAGCCTTGGCTCTAAGCTCCCTAAGTGCCTGCTCATAATATTTCACAATAATCAAATAAACAAATTGTCAAAGAAAATCTGGAGTACAATATGAGGTTACCACACGAAAATCTCACCTTTTCCTCGTCTTTCTTCTTTTGGATGTTAGCCAAATCAGACTGCACAAACATTTATGATTGTAAGAACAAATATGTAAATAATCAAACAGGTATATAAGCTATGATAATATATCTAATGTGCAGCTCCCCCATGTTCTATTGGAAGAACTTTTGGACTTGCCATAGCATGACCCAATAAAATTAATCAATAATCCCTAAATGGAAAGGCAACCTTAGAATATATGAACCAGCAAGCCCTACATATTTGCACATTGAAGAATAAAATTGCCTTTAAAAAAAAAAAATCAACAAATCCAATATATTCCAGAGGAAAAAGATAAATATAAACCTGGGGCTTACCTCTAGTACCTTACAAGACCCAAAAATCTGTAACAGTAGGGTACATAAACAATTTACCTCAACATCCCAATAGCCAGGATATTCGTTAACATAAACAATGTATGTCAATCACAAACATCCCCCCCTATTTTTTGCATTAATGAATCCTTATCAGGATCTTCAATCTCAAATATTCTTTGGTTCCTCACCAACCAAATATGATGCACAAATAGCAACTATAGCTACCCTACCAACCATGTCCAAAAAATTCTCAGACAAAATATAACCCACTAACCAGCAATTTCTCAAAATTCTAATCCACAATCCTTTACTAAATTAACAACCAAAGAAAAGGTGATCATGGGATTCAACCCTGTTGCACGACACAGAACACACTTGCTTGGTGTATAATATCGTCCTTGTTCAATCTATCTTGGGTAGCTAATCTATGCATAATAGCCAGCCAAGCAACAAATCTCTCTCTCTCTCTCTCTCAAACCAAAGAGGGGCACTAGTTCTCCAAATCAATAGATCATAATTAACCAATCAATAAATTATCTCACTCTTATCCTTAAAAAGAGTATCACCCAATAATTCAATTTTTTATTGATAGGTAAATCATATCACTTGGAACATATCCAAACACAATCAACAAATCAAACCATGAAAAAACACAAAAATATCAATTTTTTTATATAAAAAAAATCAATATATTGATGATCATACCTCGTCGTATTCCTTCTTGTCAGCCTTGGGTTGCTTCAAAGGCTTTGCTTTTCCACCTATACAAACACAGGTATCACATATACTTTGTTATTCATTCATTGTGATAAAAATTAAAGAAAACAAACACAAATCCAGCAAATCTACGATTCAAATCTGAAGAAACAAAAAGAAAATTGAAATCGATGGAAGATTAATTACCTTGCTTGGACGACATGGTTGGTTTTTTTTCTAGGGTTAGGGTTTCGTTTGGATGCGAAGAAGGATTATCGCAGACAGAGAGAGCCCTACCCCAGACAGCAAATTTTAGTGGCTTAGAAAAGTCTGGAAAAGGAGACATTTATATAGAAAAAATTTTAAAAATTTTAAAAATATTAATTTACTGTTATGCCCTTTAATCCATTGTTGTATTTGATTTGGAAAATTCTACTATACACCCCTCGTCCAGAATAGGGATGCTGTTGCGCGGGATGTGCAGTAGTATCTATTGTGCGGTGAAATGGGTCCATTTTGAGACTTATTTTGATAATTTAAATTGTTTACATTTTAGAATATATCAAGTAGAACATGCTTATAAAAAATCAAGTTAATCGGATATCGTTTACCTATTCATCCACTCACATTTATATTCATTTTAATACTTTAAATTACAATTATTATTTATTTTTGTAGATAGAAATGTGAGTGAATGAATGGATAAACGATATCTGATTAACTTGATTTTTTACAGGTATGTTCTACTTGATGTATTCTAAAATGTGAATGGTTCGGATTATCAAAATAGATCCCGAAATGGGCTCATTTTGCTGCACACCAGATGCTGCTGCGCACCCTGCGCAACAGCATCCCCAATCCCCCTTGTCCTATGCACGCCTAAATTATCCTATTTTCTTTTTTAATTATAATTAATTTTATTTTTTAGTTATGATTTTATTTTAGTTATTACTGAAGTGTTGTTTTGGTTATGATTTTTTTTTTTAATTTTTATAATTATGAATAAAAAAATAAAAAGTTATGTCATTTCCTTTTTTAATTTAGAGATGTATACTGTACACATCCTTTTGTTCCATAGTCTTTCCCGTTTCTTTAAACCCCTTATTTCTTACCCACTAAGGCCCGTTTGTTTTCAAATGTAGAATGGAAGAAATTGATAGTGAGGGGATTAAGTAAAATTGTATTTGTTTTGATGATAGTTGTTGATGTAGGAATTGCTAAATTATTTTTACATAAAATAATAAAACAAACAAAAAAATACAAAAAATTAAACATTAATGTTCAAAAAAAAAAATGCCCAACATGTAAAAAAATAAAAAAATTTCTAGTCCCCTCGCTGTTTTTTTAATATCACCTCCACCTCCACCTCCACCTCCTCCATTCTAATCTCCCTTTCAACCTTCACCCTAATCCTTTCTTCCATCTCAATCACTTTTCTAAATCTACAAACAAATACAATACTAAATGGATCCCACCTCCATCCTAATCCCGTCCCACCCTCTATACCCAAAACAAATAGGCCCCTAACTTTTATTTTTACAACAATAACATAGAGCTCTACATATGCGGTAAGGAAAAAATAAAAAAACAAACATACAAATAAACACATCACATCACAAATAAGTCTCATCCATTTAAAACTCCTCTAAAACTCTCATTCTAAAACTCTCAATCATTTTTCCTTTATCATCTACCATAATATCAACTTTATCTTTAGACGCCTTCCGCACAATTTTTTTTGAACTTTTATTTTATCTTTTGTTAAAAAAATTTACATTTAGCTTAAAAAAATTATTTTTTCACTTCATCTAATTTAGAAAAAATTTAAAATTAAATTAAAAAAATTCAGTAAAAATAAAAAAAGTAAAAAATTAAATTAAATTAAAAAATAAAAATTTTAAGTTTTTTTTGGTTTGAATTTTTTATTTTTTTATTTTTATTCTATATAAATTTTCAAGTTAAAATCTAAAAGTATAAAAAAAAAATTTAATTTTATTTAGTAAAAACGAAAAAAAAAAATCAACAAAAGGTTGATAAAAATGTAATTGCCAAACCTCACCTGAATTGTTTTTTTTAGTTGCTTTTTTGGAATTTTAAGAAGTTGATGCCTTTAGTAATTGTTTTTAAAAAAATGACTTTTTTTATTATGAAAAAGTTTAATTTTTAAAATCATTTTAGTCTAACACAAACAAATTTTCCCTTTGACTTATTTAAATAAAAAATACTTCTTTTTTTTTTTATATGAAACGGGTAGCATGCATTCTTAATTACAAACAATTAGTCCTCCTACACTTTCCCATTGAAAATTGAAAAATGATCAAACCCTATTGCTCTGTTTATTTAGAATGAAACAGGTAGATATTGAAAGAAAGAAAAATAAAAAAATAAAAAAATTCTATGAGTTTGTTTAGTTTGAAAGTGATGAAAAGTATTAAAAAAAAAAAATTATTTTCTTGTACAAAACATATTGTCATTGTAGCTAATTTTTTATTTCTTGCAAAAAAATAAGAAAGCATAAGAAAAATTGAATGTGTGAGTTATTTATAACTAAACTTTTACATTTTTTTTTAATATTTTTCTTACAAAATTTTCATCTTAATCAAATATTCTTTCACTTCATTTTCTTTTACTTTCACTTTCTATCCAATGAAAGGTTCTGAATTGATGGGAAAGTACGGTGCAAGGAACCAAAAAAAAAAAATATATATATATATATCAACTAAGTTGGATGGTTATGTTGGGCTCATGGGGGCCACCACGAGTCCCGTTTTGATAATCCGAATCGTTTAATGTGTAGAACTCGTCCAGTATTATATGCCTGTAAAAAATTACGTTGATCGGATATCGCTAACTATATGATCAAATCATTTTTGTATAAAAAATAGATGGTGTTATAGCTAACGGTTGACAAAAAAATTAATCTGATTAGATAGCTATAGATATCCGATCAACGTGACTTTTTACAAATATATAATACTCAACGAATTGTACACATTGACGGTTCCAATTAGTAAAACGGGACTCGCGATGAGCCCCCACTGGCCAAAGAGCACCATCCAAATGGTTGCTCGAAAAGGAGGCAACCATTTCCTATTACACCACTCTGCAAACCTTGCTGCCATCGTACAGCCTACACTGTCAAAACTTTTCCTACACACTAATTTTCATAATTTTTTAATACATATTTTTTCATAAAAAGTAAAAAAATTAACTCAAACATCCATATTTTTTTTTCTTAATTTTTTAATCTAAAAAGACAAAAATATATTTATTTAGCACATCCCAAACAATATGTTGGATGTATTAGTGATGTAAAGTAAGTGTGTGTGACATAAAGGAAAGTAAGATAATTTCACATTTATCATAAATCCTAATGTATCACATGTGATATTAATTTTATTCATAATATTATAATAACTATTGGTGAGGATGTGCAGTCCATCATCAAAAGTAAAAATTTCTTTGGAGTGGAAAAAATTATAAAAATATATTTGAAAGGATAATTATATATATATATATATATAGATATATAAGATAGTATATTGTAATAATGAGTTTATTTGGTGTAACTTGTAACAAATTAAAAAATAATAATTCAAAAGTAGAATATTGATAGGGTAATTTATATGCAAAATTACCCTCTCAATAAAGTGACGTCGTACGGAAGAGCCCAGACTTGATCAACAGGATTATACGAGAAGGTTTATTTCTTTCCTGTACAAATATAAAAGTACTTCTCCTCCTCTTTCCCAATAATTACTTTTTTTAGCTTAGTCAAATCATTTCTATCTCATAAGTCGTATGTTGAAATTACACAAAACACTCTGAAACAAATTCCCTAAATTCCCCTTCAAACCCCCCTTCCAAAAAAAATAAAAATAAAAATTTGTATGCAATTTCATAAACTACACCAAACCACTCCAATATTGCATTTTAAACTTGAAGTAAAACAACAAAAATGGGAGATGCCTAGGTCTTTTAGGTTGTATTTGAATTATGAATTTGAATAAAAATCTGAAAAAAGGGAAGGAAAAACAAGGGAGATGTGAAAGAAATTTAAGATAAATTTTTTCTTCATTTTATTTTCCTTTTTCAAACCCTTATCCAAATTTATAATCCAATTCAACCACATGGATCAGCCCAGAAATATTGGGGCTTTAATCAAATCCAAAACTGAATTTAACAATTCAATCCTAGGGCCAAATGCTGAACATATTAAATCCACAGCTGATGACAGCCCATAATAATTTGGATTCCTCATTAAATCCATACACAAAATAGGACACACAAGATTTCTTCTATAATTTCTCAGCCATGCATAGAACATAGTTATGTGTCTATGTATTGCTTCTAACTGTTGGTGCAAATTTCATAAATGAGATGGAAAGAGGTAAAACAGAAAATAATAAGTATTGCTTCAAGGCACGTTACAACGTCGCTTTCCTTAAGACGATATTCGTCCCCACCAATTCTATCGAATATGGTGTGCACCGGGTTACCCGCAAATCCGCCTCCAGGATACAATGAAGCCCAGTCTAAAGACTGATGTCTAATTGCATTATGCACGAATGAAATCAGATCCCGAGTACCTTTGGATTTTTCTAATCCACCAAGTAAAGAGGAAAATAACAATATGAATGTTAGAGAGAAATTCCATAGATTTTATATGGATTATATCTCTTAAATGCCAACCCATTCAGCCTTTATATAGGCATGGGTTTGTGTCCTTAGACCAAAGGTCGTGTCCTTTAGATTCAAAGTGATACTCTTTAAATCCAAGAGTCATATCTTTTGGTTTAAATCCAATGGTTACACCCCATTATTTAAATCCAAAAGACATATCTTTTTGTTTAAACTCAATCTTTACATACTTTGGCTTAAACCCAAAAGTTACGGCCTTGTTTGGTTTGTTTCTTAGAAAAATTTTTGAAAATTTTTTTTTACAAACAAATTTTCAAGAATAATCAAACCAAACAAATTTTTCAATAAAAAAATCTCAAAATTTTGTTTGGTTACCTACTTTCCAAAATCACTCTCTTTCTCATACACATCAAATCAATCACTTTTTTTAAAACTCTCTCCCAAAATTATTTTCCAAAACTATTTATGAAAAAGGCAAACCAAACAAGTTTTCGTACTTTTTATCTCAAAAACTACTCTGCAAACACAAACCAAACACATATCTTTAATCATTCATATAACTATATTATATATAAATATATTATGAAAATGTTCCAACATTTCCCCACCATTTTCAAAATATATGAAAATAACAACTAGGACAAATTAGGAAAATTTATGCATAAATGAAGATATCTTTCGATTTGAATAATTCATTTAGTGAAAACACATCAAAGTTAA